TAGGGTAAATATTGTGTAATATGAATAAACAGGCTTTGCTGGGAAATTAGAGTTATTTTAGTTGGAGTTACAACATTAATTTAATAGTTTACGTAAATCAATATTATTTAAAGGCTTTTGCTTTGCAGCAGAGTAAGATTGATTATAACATCACTCCACAAAAAAAAGTTTAAAATGTTAACCGTCCATATACCCACCAGCCATCCCTGAATTCAAGTCTTATAAGGGTTGGATTAAATCAAACAATTCTAATAATTATAACCAAGTATAACAAACAGTTTGGATTTTTAAAATATATATATATTTTGATATTTTGTTTCCACCTTTGTCCTGTGTCCCATTTTTATACTTGTCCAGGTGTCCTTTACCTACACAGGAGGTGTAAGAAGCAGCAGTGGTTCTTTCATTGTCTGTCGCGAGATATTATGGAGGGGGGGTTACAATATTAATACAGATTGTATATTGTTTGCTTTTGGATTGGATTGGAAGCTGGGAGAAACAGAAATTCTTGGAAATCTTTTAAATGAAGGGAGTGCATGCTCCTTTGCAGACATATTCAGGAAATGCACCAGAGTAAACAACAGAGTGAACAGAGTACTGTGGGTTTGTGAGTACTGTGAGTGCCCCATCACATTGTAGCCATGGTACAACATGTAGTGAGGACCGAACAGTCTGGGATTCACTTAAAGTAAGTCATGTGGAAAGTGAGGACCACCCAGTGAGGTACCATTCATCCCCACAACAGTATCTTACTGTAGACTTGTTAGTGGACAAAGACATAGAGGGTTCTGCCATTAGTGTCCAGATCTCTCCACTTCCATTAGATTATTGTGTCACTTCGTATACATATATGTAAAAAGTTTTGTGTTTGTGATTGGATGGGTGATTGTAACTAGTTTGGGGTATGATTGGATGGTGAATGTGACAAGGTGGCTGGATTGATGATAAGTAAGGCAAGGCTCCGAGAGGTGTGTGTGTGTGTGTGTGTGTGGGAGACTGCTTGTGGTGGGGTGTATGAGTGGTAGGCTGCTTGTGATGTTGTGTGTGTTTGGGAGGGAGGCTGCTTGTGGTGTTGTGTGTTTGGGAGGGAGGCTGCTTGTGGTGTTGTGTGTTTGGGAGGGAGGCTGCTTGTGGTGTTGCGTGTGTGTGTGGGGCAGGCTGCTTGTGGTGTTCGTGTGTGTGTGGGGGAGGCTGCTTGTGGGCTAGTGTATGTTGAGGGACCTCCAGAGGTGCAAACCGGAAGCATTAGAATAGGGTGATCTTTGATCTACCCACCAGCTGTGCCACCCTTCTCATACAAACCTCCCCCAATGCCATGGCTTCAGTGGCCTTTTGGGAAATCCAGCCCTGAGCATCTTGGGAGTGCAGTCTCTGGTATGTGGAGTGGGAGAGACTGCTGGCTTTGTTTATATATCGCTAGTAATAATCTTCAAAACCAAATGTCAAAACATGTATTATTCAGTTTTTGGCTACAAATATCAGGACATTGGAATCTGCTAGTCTGTATTTTGCTTTTCTGACAAAAGGTTCTCTAGACGTATTTGTTTTTATTATTGCTATAAAGCAGACTATTATACCCATTTTATCAGCAGAGAGCAGAATAAATGCCACTTGGTAAGCTATCGGTACATCCTCAGCATTTTGACAAGCAAGAAAAAGAGTAATTAGGCACAGAGAACTGTGACAAATAGCAAAACCAGCTTGATTACGGGAATGAATGCAAGCATCACATTCGGCAGAGAGATAATCAGGGAGCGCAGTTTGCTGGCTATGGGCCAAATAAATTGCAAGTCAAACTGACTGAGATAATCGTGCAGAAAATGGATTTACTATTGAAATGTCTGCGCTGGTCTGTTAACACTAAATTCATTAGATGACCATTGAGGAAAACACTTTCAGAATGTGGGGTATAGCAGCAAACCCCAAACGCTAAAGATGGACTCTGGAGCGGTTTTACACAGTAACTCTGCTTGATGGTGGAGATTACAGTCTATAATCCTTAGTGCATGTTTACCCTTTAAGTCATATGGAGAATTCATTTTGGGCATGATGTGGCAGGTACCATGATGCTTTGTCAGCCTTACATTCTAAAACATCTGTGGATCTACCTTAGCTCTGGCTAGTCTCCTAACTCTAAACCTGGTCACTGGGAATGCTGAGGACAGCCTTAATATTAAGGTAATAGGAGTAGGTGATGTGTAGAGTCCTTAGATTGATTAAAGGTAGGGCCTCCCTTCCTCATTTCTTATACAGTGGAGCTCTCTTGATGTTGGTTTCCCCTTGTGGGACTCTACACATCACCTACTCCTATTACCTACATATTTTGGAGAGTTACCCCCTCATTGGAGCTCCCTATTAGGTGGTTACAGTGGTGCAGCTCATGAGCCCTTGACTTGTATCCGGACTTCTGACCTGCACTCTGTTTACTTTATTTCTCTATTTTGTGTTAGCCTTAATATTAAACCTGGGAGCTAAAGATGTGGGATCGTCACGGAAACCAGCGGAATGCTCATTCTGATTACGTTACTTCTAAAACCTTGCCCAAGAATTGTTCTTTATACATAATCCCCAATGCAACCATTACCCTAATGCTGGATGAGAATCATGAGAATGTCAGTTCATAACCATCTGTGAGGAACAGTCACCACAGTCCAAACCTATGAAGCAGTTGAAGATAACAGCTTTAATAGAGATGTACATACCTTAAGCTCCAAGAGATTCCCTAAGGTGAAGTTCTTATCACGTATAATCAGTCTGCCGATGGTATTGTGTATTGTTTCCCAATGTCGGTTCTGCAGACATGGGTTCCTTAAAGCAACCACAATAGGCAAACTTTGCTTAAAATCCAGAATCGATTGCCTCAGGGATACTACAATATCGTTTGTTGGCAAACCTGAAAAGAAGTGCAATAAAGATAACTGCATTTATGGTAAAACATAGTTTGGGTTTATTTACCAATTACAGTGAATTGGAAACCAAATTTGTTAAATTTAGGATTCAATAACCAATTTGACAAAACAGCTGAGTTGAGGAATTGGGACAGCTCATATGATAACTTAAATTTAGCAAATTTATTTGATTTCTCTAATCAGAAGTGGCTTTAAGGTCGGAGCATCCTTTTTCCTTGAGATTGAGAGAAAATGTTGAACTCTGGCAATCCCTTTTGTTAATCTACTGCTTACAATACTCACTTTACAGCTGTCACTTTATATCTCAGCTTGGGAATGTAGGTGACATATTTAACACTGCATAGATTTTTTTTTATTTGTAGAATAAAATAAGTCATATTTGTTGTTTTCTTGATAGCTCCTATAAGCTTTCACAGAAATGTACTAATTGGAAGCAGATGAGGATATTGGGAGCTACAGTCTATTAAAACTTAGAGTGGCCACTTACCTTTCTCAAGCATGATCAATGTATGGCTGAATCGATTAACATCCCTCTGTATGACATCAACATTGAGCTGTTGGAAAGAGGTAGACCTCCACTCAGCACTAAGTTTTGCCCATTCTTCTGTAGACTCCCAAAGGAGCTTCCTTAAACTCAAGTCACATTCGACTTCAGTCAGCTCTGTGTTAAGGAGGTGAGTACTGATATCTCCTGTTGCGCTCTTCTGTGACAATAGCGTGTCCACTAACTGGGCTTTCATGTGCGTGATGGAACTTCCAAATCTCTCCTGGTAGGTTGAGTAACATTGTGCTTTACCAGAAATATCCTCAAATTCTTCCTGGAGATTCAGAATGGTTTCTTTGGCTTCCATTGGGAACGTGTCACTCTCAAGAAGTATGTGGCTTCGGACCTGATAAAAACAAATTTGTGACAATCATGGACCTAGACACAGTGTACATCATATATTGTCTCTCTATTTATAGACAGTTTGATTTTTTTCATGTACCATGAGTGGGTGTAAAACACATGATATGTAAACTATATAGTTTATTAGTCATTTATTAAAAAAGTGAAAGTTAAAATAGAAAGAAAAAAAGAAAAAGATTCAGGTTGGAAGCTTAACTCCAATGGAGCTACCAGAACCTAAAATTCACAGATATCATTAATAATCCCAAAGGTCTGCTCCCTCTTAGAACATTTCATTTAGAAAATTCACAGACCAAAAACAATCTGTATGCACCTCAACAGTTCAGGATTCAAAATCTTTCAATACAGTTCCAGAACAATACAATGAATTCGATTCTCCAAAAGTAAAATTTAATCTAAAATGCTCTTCTAAATTAAGGGCCTATACAATACTAATACTAAACAATAACTCACAATAGGAGGAATGTATCAAGGTAACAATGGGTAAAAATGGGTGCTACATGTAGTGAAGCATTCTATTGGTTTCCACGGTGATTTGTTCTTATTTAGCACTGTGCACCAGAAAAGCATCTGTTTTTGCCTTGATAAATCATCTCCCCGATACTGTTTATCTTTTATTTTTGTAATTCTTTATTTTGACAAACAGCCATACAAACGTTATGCAGATCATGGTGTATACCATAGTGATATCAATATGTTCAGCCATCTTGTATATTTAACTTTACGGATGAACACAAAGAAACGACATCTCCTTCAATAAACAAAGAAAATTCAGAAACGAAAGAAAAAAATGAAACAAAAAAAAAATCTGTGCTGGACATCTAACACTAACTCGAAGAGCACTACTAACTAACTCCCCCTTCACCCTCCCATGCCCTTTTTTTTCTCTTCTTCTCTGCATTCCCCCAAACAACCCTTCATCCCCTTCCCCCTTGCCTTCACCCGCTGCCCATTGACCATCCTCATCACTACCACCTCCTCCTACTTCTACAGTGTGAAAAACTTGACAAATGATTATTATGGTACATTTTCACACTGAATTGCTAAAAACAAACACATACCTTAATCTTGAGATCCATTATCTCAAAGTGCAAGTTGGAAATATACTTGTCCAAATCTCCACTGAATTTCACAATTCCTTCATCTTTTTTTGCTTCGCAGTAGAGTACGGATGATTTTAGTTGTTGAAAGCTTGGAGTAAGACTCTGGAATAGAGCTAATTCCTCTGAAGAAATAGGCACATTGTAGTCTTTGGCAACAGCATAGAGCTGTATAACAGTAGTGTACCTTTTCTCCAGCGAGGGAACCTCGGACGATATTTGACCAAGGAATGTCAAATGCGCAACAAAGTCCTCCACCTGTGTCAGGTCCTTGTTCAGATTCGTCAATGCATCATGAATGACCTAAAATAAATCAGCAAATGGTTTTAGATGAGAATAGCCAAATATAACAAATTTAGGACATATGTGTAAAGTATAAATACAAAAAAAATCCCCCGATAGTACGAATTGTGGTAAAATCTAATTTTTTTATGAAAGTGTGAATAGTTGTAAATTCTAATTTTAGACCAAAGTAGCTGTACTGGACATGGAGCTGAGTAGGAGAATTTTCCAAATTTGGCTATTGTGGCCTAAAATGTGATATTAATGCTGCACGCATGTTGAATTCCAGACAATTCACACTTTTGAAAAATCCTATTGTAGATTTGTGTTTTGTTTTTTTGTTTTCATTTTTACTTTACACAACTGTGCTAAATTCACTACAACACTGCAGGACGAGAAACTGGTTTTAAAGATAAATATTTGAATATTTGAAATTAAATGCATGACATTTGTTAATTTAATGGAGTGTTTAAATAGAATAAAAAGTTATCAACTTACATCCAAAAGTTGTAAATTCTTTGCGTACGCTAGAACAGGCAGAGATACACAAACACTACGCAATACAGCCTCCAGATGTTGCAGGCATTCCGTCTGATACTGCAGACTGTGGACCTTACAGGCATGTACGCGCCTCTCCGTGTTCATTTGTTTACACTCCGTGATAAAGCATTTGAATGTAGCCAGGATGTTTCTGTAGTCATCCGGAGACATTTCTGTTTCTGCTCTAGTAATCTTCATTTGGACATTTTGCGCTGTTCCCACCATGGTGCAGTACTTGTTAAAATCTCTGCTATAACTTTCCACGTCTTTCATTGAATTCTTAACAATTGAGATAATATTTTTAACCTATGAATTAAAAGAATATATAGTAATTGAAGCATATAAAAATGATACCTTATGAAACATCTATTTTAAGCCAAATGTAAGCAAAGCTTTATTTCCAGTTACAACAAAAACCCACCTAAGCTACAACCCAGCATTGATCACCATCACTTTCCATCCAATAACCCCTTCCCCTATTTTAACTTCTTCAGACACATGTAGAGCATCCCCCCACAGACTCAGCACTGTCTCCTAGCTGTATGTATCAATACTGGCCAATATGGCATTGTCCATTTACTGTAAATAAATTTAGTCTTTACTTGGTGCTTGTCGAACTGCTAACACTTGTATAGATGAAAAATATTCTGCTGTCCTTATATTGGTAGATTACACACGGTGTACTCCGCCATTGCTCCTCTAACTAATGCAGATGCATTTCACAGCATTGCGTATGCACTCACATACTAGAAATTGTGGGATACAGCATGTGTCATTTGAAAAACACATGCATCATATGTAAAATTCTATCAGAAAGAAGGATTGAATAAATGAATCACAATATTATATTTTAGCATCAACAACATGAATAATGTTTGCTCTGTGCCACATAATTGAATGAAATATATTGGTAACAAAGTTACAGACTACAGGAAAATTGCAGGAGAATCTTATGTATTCAGGCAATTGCAGTATAATAAGTGGGAAACATAGAGTGTAGATATGGCTATCTATATCTGGGTCCTTCTAGAACCACACATAATGCAGAAAGGAAAGGACGTCCCATTACATCACCCATTACATACCTTACTCTGATAATCTAGGTTGCTTCCACACTGTCATTCTCTGAAGTTCTGCCTGTGCATAACACTCAGAACGACAGGCGGATGCGTATTAGGGACTTTAATTTGTGGCTTGGTGAATGGTGTCGGGAGCAAGGATTTGGCTTTATTTCTCATGGTAGCTCTGTTTGGAATGGAGATAAGCTGTACAAAAAGATGGTTTGCATCTTTCTCAAAAGGGAACAAATGTTCTCAGTGAGCAGTTCAGAGGTTTTGCTAGGATGTATTTAAACTAGGAGGGGGGGGGGCAAAAGGGTGATAAAACATCAATCCAATTGTCCCCCAAAACAAGGACAGAAGGTGCCAAAACAAGGACAGAGTTTAGGGCCTGTAGCAAGTGTGTTAAAAAATGATAAGCTTAGAGTCATGTCTACAAATGCTCGCAGTTTAGGGAATAAGATCCATGAACTTGTGGCAATAATGGCAACTGATAGTGTAGATTTAGTCGCTGTTACTGAGACATGGTATAATGAGAAAAATGACTGGGACATAGCAATACCAGGGTACTCTTTATATAGGAAAGATAGGGAAGGCAAGAAAGGGGAGGGGTGGCCTTGTATGTGAAGGATAGCATAAAATCTAGCCTAATAAAAGTTAGTGAGGCAAACATAGAGTCCGTTTGGGTTACGTTAGAATTTGGTAATCACACAGTAACTCGTGTAGGTGTGATTTATAGGCCCCCAGGACAAATTGAAGAGTTAGATAATCTACTAGTTGAGGAAATAGCTAAAATGACAATGAAGGGGAAGTTATCATCATGGGTGACTTTAATCTTCCTGATGTAAATTGGAAAACAAAATTAGCTACTTGTGCCAGGAGCACACATATTCTAAACTCCCTACTGGGATTGTCTCTACAACAAGTTGTTGAGGAGCCAACTCGTAAAGAGGCCATACTAGATTTAGTGTTAACAAATGGAGATTTGGTATCAGATGTTACTGTAGATGAAAGTTTAGGATCCAGTGATTATCAGTCAGTGTGGTTTAATATAAGAACAGTGACTGAGTCACACCACACAAAAACAAAAGTTTTAGACTTTAGAAAAACAGACTTTTCTAAAATTAGAATATGGGTAGAGGAGTCATTATCAGACTGGAGCAATTTAAATGGAGTCCAAGAGAAATGGGATTATTTAAAAGTTGCACTATTGAAGGCAACAAAAAATTGCATTAGGCTTGTCAGTAAAAGCAAAAAATTCAAGAAACCACTGTGGTACTCCGCAGATGTGGCCAAAATAGTTAAAAACAAAAAGTTAGCATTTAGGAATTATAAAAAAACCCAGAGTGAGGAAGACAAAATGATCTATAAGATTAGGCAGAAAGAGGCTAAGCAAGTTATAAGAGCTTCCAAATCACACACAGAAGAGAAAATAGCACAGTCAGTAAAAAAGGGGGATAAAACATTTTTTAGATACATAAATGAGAAAAGAAAAGTAAAACAAGGATTAGTTAGATTAAAAACAAAAGAAGGAAGGTATGTAGAAGAGGATAAAGGTCAGGCTGACTGCCTCAATGAATATTTTTGTTCTGTATTTACAGATGAAAATGAAGGAAAGGGACCTCAGTTGAGAAAAAGGATAAATGAGTCATTTATTACACGTGAGTTTACAGAGGAAGAGGTTCTATTTCAACTGTCAAAAGTAAAGACAAATAAGTCAATGGGACCTGATGGAATACACCCAAAGCTATTAAAAGAGCTTAGTGGTGTACTAGAAAAACCATTAACAGATTTATTTAACCAATCATTGTTAACAGGAGTAGTCCCAGACTACTAGAAAGATAATAGGGAGGAGTCGGGCAACTATAGGCCAGTAAGCCTTACTTCAGTAGTGGGGAAAGTGATGGAAACCATGTTAAAGGATAGGATTGATGAACATCTAAAACACATGGATTTCAAGATCAGAGACAACATGGGTTTACTTCAGGGAGATCATGCCAAACTAATCTTATTGATTTTTTTGATTGGGTAACTAAAATTATAGATCAGGTGGTGCAGTAGACATTGCTTACCTAGATTTCAGTAAGGCTTTTGACACTGTTGCACATAGAAGGCTTATTAATAAACTGCAATCTTTAAGTTTGGATTCCAATATTGTTGAATGGGTAAAGCAGTGGCTGAGTGACAGGCAACAGAGGGTTGTAGTTAATGGAATATATTCGAAGCTTGGACTTGTCACCAGTGGGGTACCTCAGGGATCTGTACTTGGTCCCATTCTCTTTAATATTTGTATTAGTGATATTGCAGAAGGTCTTGATGGTAAGGTATGTCTTTTTGCTGATGATACTAAGATATGTAACAGGGTTGATGTTCCAGGAGGATAAGCCAAATGACAAATGATTTAGGTAAACTAGAAAAATGGTCAGAATTGTGGCAACTGACATTTAATGTGGATAAGTGCAAGATAATGCATCTTGGACGTAAAAACCCAAGGGCACAGTACAGAATATTTGATAGAGTTCTAACCTCAACATATGAGGAAAGGGATTTAGGGGTGATTATTTCTGATGACTTAAAGGTAGGCAGACAATGTAATAGAGCAGCAGGAAATGCTTGGTTGTATAGGGAGAGGTATTAGCAGTAGAAAGAGGGAAGTGCTCATGCCATTACATACAGAACACTGGTGAGACCTCACTTGGAGTATTGTACACAGTACTGGAGACCGTATCTTCAGAAGGATATTGATACCTGAGAGAGGGTTCAGAGAAGGGCTACTAAACTGGTTCATGGATTGCGGGATAAAACTTACCAGGAAAGGTTAAAGGATCTTAACATGTATAGCTTGGAGGAAAGACGAGACGGAGGATATGATAGAAACATTTAAATATATAAAGGAAATCAACACAGTAAAGGCGGAAACTATATTTAAAGAAGAAAAACTACCACAACAAGAGGACATAGTCTTAAATTAGAGGGACAAAGGTTTAAAAATAATATCAGGAAGTATTACTTTACTGAGAGGGTAGTGGATGCATGGAATAGCCTTCCAGCTGAAGTGATAGAGGTTAACACAGTAAAGGAGTTTAAGCATGCGTGGGATAGGCATAAGGCTATCCTAACTATAAGATAAGGCTAGGGACTAAAGAAAGTATTTAGAAAATTGGACAGACTAGATGGGCATATGTTTCTATGTTTCTACAACCACACAATGCAGAAAGGAAAGGACGTCCCATTACATCACCCATTACATACCTTACTCTGATAATCTGGGTCCTTCTAGAACCACACATAATGCAGAAAGGAAAAGACGTCCCATTACATCACCCATTACATACCTTACTCTGATAATCTGGGTCCTTCTAGAACCACACATAATGCAGAAAGGAAAAGACGACCCATTACATCACTAG